CCTTTTGCCTATTTAGTTGGGACTCAGGAGTCTTGTAGTGTCAGTAATCATAAATCCTTTATGACTCTGTAATTTGTCATATTTTTTTAATATTACAGAGTCTATTTGATACAGAGTATTGTATGAACAAGGTATGCTTTTAGGCCTCGGCCTCGAATCTCGCGGGTAGCGGGGCGGCAGCGGCGGCGGCACGGAAACGCATACATTTCTCCGTGCCCGTTGCCCGCTAGTTTGGAGAATAGTATGCGTTTCCGTGCCGCCGCCGCTGCCGCCCCGCTACCCGCGAGATTCGAGGCCGAGGCCTTAAAGGTCTTGTTTTCATACAAAAACTGGAATAACAATGACAACATGTGTTAAATTATAATTTTAAATTTATTTAAGTTTTTGTCGAATCATTTCTTTATAACGGTAAATCATCATACTATCCAGCTCGTTAATTTTTTACTCTCATAGGTACTGATGACAAAAAAAGTCATTCATTTGGTAACTTAACATATAAGATATATAAAAGTCAACATACTACTTATCATAAAAGAAAATCAAATTATATATACGTTACATGCCATTGATTCTAATGTAAAAATCCATCGCCAAATAACTGTTACATAAGTATTTTAAACTTAGGACCTCCCCTAATTCAGTTTTGGTTGTTTGATGGAAGTGACAAACTATTATCAAGGAACTAACTTTACTGGGTCCACTGTGGCCTCTAGGTATCTTATTGTATAATATCAGTACCATAGATATCTATAACATGTTAGGAATTTAAAGGAAATACATATATACCTCAGTTACAAAATATATGTAAAATTTTCTGACCACTCCCTAAAAATACTGGTACACCGTACAGTGAAGTACGTAATCAAAATATTATTCTATCTTTAATATGCCTTTTAAGTGAACATCTATACGATATAGTATTTAAATGTATTTTGTGTACACATATATCTACTATGTTTATTGAGATGAGATAAAGCCGAGATAAATAATGTTATCAAATATAACATAGAGGAAATAGGAAGTTGTTTAGAAAATATGTCAAACTTAATTATAAGTATTTACTCATAGTATACAAGATATCTTACGAGTATTATGAATCACTTGGTTAATATTTTGATAGTAGCTCAATAGAAAGAAAACAATGTTTTTTATTAGTTAAATTAGATAATGTTTGTTTAATAATGTTGTGGATGTCCATGGGCGAGGGTAACCACCTTCCATCAAGTGGGCCGTCTGCTCGTTTGCCACCTTTCACATAAAAAAAAAAAAATAATAATATAATAACCTGAGGAAGTGTAGAAGTTTGATACCAAAAAAGGAAACTAAAATATTTTGTAAGATAAATTAATGTTGATTTTTTTTTAACTAACTCAAACCAATACCCAAAAGCCAGTAAGTAGTGCACTCTCAGTTGTCTTTATAATCAGCCATCATATTGTTTGTTCCCCTTCTTTCTCAAATGCTTTACTGTAAGTTATGTTAAAAGAAACATTGCGTTTTGTAACTGAAGTGTATATCCTTTTAATTCAACTTTAACTTCAACGTTTTAAATCAAACGTTACAAAAGGTAACTCAAGTCTATTATTTCTCTCCTTATGTTTAGCTATAAGCTTAGAAAGATGCAAAATCAACCGTCACTCCAAAAAGCTAAAACAAAATCTTAAGATCATTTTCTTGATATTTGACAAGCGATTCTTTTTAATTATTTTAAAATTTGTAAATAATTAATTTTTACGATTTGATTTTGATTCAAACATCTTAGATTCTTTCCTGGTAGTAGCACGTTTATTGAAATGGTCATAGTCAATAAAGTTGTCTTGGCTTCGCTTCATTTCAGCAATGAATTCACATTCTTATTTTGTAGTTAATATTAAAATAATTGTATACGTATTGTTTAATTTATTAATATTTTTTTTTATATTTTATCTAATACTCGCAAGACAGATATACTTTACATAGGGTTGTTTGAAATAAATCGTCACTGGGCGATAAGACCGCCTTTTGTTTCAGATATTGCTTATTTTTTATTGTTAATATTTCTACTTCTAAGTACGTTCGAAGTCAGTGGTGGCCTATTTATTGGTTAAAGGCCCGCCTCTCGTGAATGAGGGCGCAGGTTCGATCCTGGCAAGTGCTAATGTGATTTTTTCGAGTCCTATGTACTTTCTTACAGTATTTAGACACCACTGACAGACGGTAAAGGCAAACATCGTGAGGAAACCTGGACTTATAGTTTCACAATAAGTTTGAAATCACCAACCCGTCTTGAGCAAGCGTGGTGATAAATGCTCAAACCTTCTCCAAGTGAGAAGAGGCCTTTGCTCAGCAGTGGACTCTGATAGGCTGATGACGACGACGATAACGACAATTTCCACGTCTTGGGATCAATTAAAAATATAATATTAAGAGTAATATATTATTACCTGATTCGTTTTTACGGCAAAGTGTAGTCACTTTAAACTAGTGTAAAACACGATAAAATTGAAAATCACATCTCCAAAACAAAAATGTACATGAACACGAGATATAAAAATACTACCACTTTGTATTTAAAAATATTAAATGTAGTCATAATAGGAATTATGGCTACACCTCAATAGATAACCGTAACAAGCGATAATTAATTGTCTTGTTATTGCCAGAAGCAATAAGCAAATTGTTGAGAACTTGATCTTCACCATAAGCCGTGATCATATATATTTCAGAAACAATAATTACTTGTATCCTTTTGTAATTTTCACGGAGATACAACTATCGTATCTGATAAAATCGTTATCGTATCAGATAGCGTGTACATAGTTTTGATTTTTGTGGTAAGAGGTTAAATATGCATTAGTATTATTATAATTATTAACTTCACGAAATAATCATGTAAGTCGATACTATGACAGTCTCTTATTATAATATCTTGGTAGCATTAAAATATGCACTGGATAAATGAAAATACTCGTCTTAAAGCAACTTTTAATACTCTAATTTTAATAACCTTCAAAATTGTCATTGAAGAACCTATTGCTATAGTATATTTATATTAATAAATTCAGATATCGTGTCACACTGTGATCGAATTATACCTCCCAGCAATAGAATATCCTATCAAATATATAATTCAATATAAATAAATACCTGAGCGTCTCCATTACCTATTATAATGGGTAACAAAGATGTTGAATTCTGTTGTACTTATCAACAAAAGAAATAGTTTAGTATCGATTCTTTTAAACTGTTACTAATTGGTTCTTTTCTTCAAACATTTTACACCTTCGTAACTCACATTATCATTTAAGTTAGCTATCTCAGTTTAGAAAACCTTTTAAATTCATTTCTTGCGGCATATTTCATATTGTGTTTTACATTTAAGATACTCCCACTGAATCTGTACAATATGCCAGAAATTTGACAACGTAAATTGATTAATTACCCAATGTGACCGCCGTGCTCAGTAAACCGCTGGAATTTTGTCGAGGGGTCTTTATACATCGATTAACCTCTATTATCTTAAATTTGTGTCACAAGAAGCAAAGACATTATCGGATAACTTAAGTAACACGACAAGAACGGCTAGAAAAAGGAATTAAACAGAATTACTGATAATATTTTAGGATCATTAATGAGTTAATAATATTAAAAATAGCATATTGTAGTTTTTCCATTTCATAGAAGGATTTGTATAGCAGAAGCCACGTTTTACTTCATTTTTCTCTCGACAATAATTATTGTCTGTTCAGAGCTAGGTATTGTCCGTAGTACTATTGTGACAGCCGGCTACTTTTGTTCGTTTGCATAAAGAAACCACGGCCAGCTATCATGACGTCCAGCCTTATAAGGAAAATAATGCTGACACTTTAAGATCTATCGATTGATATACATTTATTGAATCTAAGACCAAGTTGTCCGTAATCAGAGAAGGAAAAGCAAAAAAGCCAATAATAATTTTATCTCTTGTCTAAAGACAATATCGAACTAGAATAAGGAGATAGAAGAGAAATTATCATAGACTCTAATAAAAAAAAATTGAATTATTTATTTACTTACATCCAGTTAATTCTCACAGAAAAGAAATCATTTTTTCTTTGGAGTAAGTATGTGATATAATCATATCAGTAAGAAAACGGTAAAAAATAAAAAATGAGTATTACATGATGCTGTATTTCACATAGACTTTTTTTTATTTAAAAGTATTTTTTTACAAGCATTTTTCATCCAAACTTGTTACATCCAAATTATTGTTTTTTATGTTGTCACCGTTAGAAAGCTTGATCTGTTTTCCCAAGTTTAAATTCCAGGAATCCCATGGAATATTCATCGATACGGTTCAAGGGTCAAACTAATTTGGTTACATAAACCGTAAAATTTTATATAAACAAATTGGCATCAACGTCCAGACCACTGTATTATTGTTTTAGGATAAAGTTTTTAACGAAAACAATAAGTTTAATCTTTCCAAATAAATATAATATTATAATTTGTTTCAATAAATACAATTGTTTGTTTTTGTTGCCATTTTATACAAAGTAACCTTTTGAGACCCGCTATGCTAGCAGTGTCCGAACACTAGGTGGCGCTGGTTTAATTTGGATAACAATATTTTAAACAAAATTGTATAGACATATTTCCTGAAAGATTACATGTTGTTTTTAGACATTAATTAAATAGCCTTCAAAACATCTCTCAAATTAATTTAATTAAATAGGCCTCAAAATAGCTTTCATTCTCAAGTTCTTATTATTTGTGTATTTAGCAATTTAAGCCAATTACAAATCAAATCATGATTAAAAGTACAAAATAAAACAATATCAAAAAGTCATAATATTAATTTATTTGTAAAATATAATACTTAAATGGACACGTCGTATTATAATCATACATAAATTCATTAACAACAAGGATTGCTTAGATATGCGTTAGTTTTGCAGCCAAGTAGAATAATGTTTACTCGAAATTACATATGATAATATTTTAATAGGATAACGTATGAATATATTAAAAGGGCGTTAAAGTTAAAAGCAAGTAATGGCGTTGAAGTAGCATCGCAGGACCCGCCCTCGGCCGGTGCCTTGACCTCGTCTTTGTAGTCCTGACTGTTGAACAAAAATAACAGAACTTACATAAACATTCATATAAGTATGTTCAATTAAAACAGTAGCGAAGTTTGCGTATTAAAATGTATATACATGATGTATATTTAAATTATATATAACAAAGCATTAGAACACAATATATCGATTATATTGTTAATATTGGTATTTGGTAGTTTTGATTCAACTTAATAACCACAATTAATTGGAAATCTCTGTAGTTCCTGATACATAGAGAACTTCTTAGTTTCATGTCATAAGTTTGATAACAAAGTAACTTTATTATATACATAATTTGTATATACTTATGGGTATTCAAATCCCAAATGTTTTCGATCCTAATAACACAAAAAAAGTTTATCCGATAGCCTCTAAGTATGCAACATATTATTATGATTGATCGATTTCTATAACAAATAATACTCATTCAAAGTTTTAACCATAAAATCTTGCTTTCATTTTCAGTATTGCTTGTGATAATTTTATGTACCTAATACCGTAAAAATTATTTCGTATCTTGAAAATACATAAAATAAATGTCAATTAGACGGTTTGTCTAATAACAAAGTGTTGGACAATAAACTTACGAAATGTAATTATACATAATTGAGCCTTTGACAGACATTTAGAATTTAATATAAGAATAGCTAAAAGCACAAATAATTTTATATAATACACAGACACACGAAAAGGTTTTTATAGGTGAGAAATATTTCGATTGGTTGTAAGTAGGGAGCTTACTTGAATGTAGTGTTTTTTTTTTCAAATAAAAAAACAACAAACATTTAAGAACAAACGATGAAATAACGACTCAAAACCTGAGAGGTCAAAAATAGCAAAACAAAAAGCATTTTTGCGCGACTAATTTTAGTAAACCGATATGTAACCATGATTAAATACTTCCGACTTTGTGACACTAAACAAATTAAATTATCTAGTGTGGACTGCACTTTTATTGTTGGAAAATATTTTTGAATTCAGATCATTTTTTCCGACAATTTCACATGAAAAAGGAGACACTTGGTTTTTTCTTTGCCTTTCAATAGTATATTTTTCATGGTAAATATTTTTATACTGCTTCCTTCTATATTACTAGTAAAATGCACTAAAAATAATAAATATACTTCTGTTGTCTCTAGTCCTAAAACGACGTTTACCGCCATCTCGTAGAACTGTTAGATAATATTTGGATATAGGACGCTTGACATGACATTGTCTTTTACGAAGAACAAATAGATGCCGCGACAAATCACTCAATTGTTTTTTTCACGACTTTTCCATAAAACAATCAGAGATATTGTTTTAAATTACAATCATGCCTTTCTACATATTTTAACAAATCTCAAAAACTTACATAGTTTATATTTTATTATGGATTTTTAATAAGTCTCTCGGCTATCATAGAAATAGAAAGCAAATAGTATGAAACAAATGATTAATTAACTTTTCATAAAAGCCCTTACCGTCATAACTCAATATTTATAATAATTATCTTATAAAGATCATTAAAACTACAAAAGAAGTATGAATACCTCAACTTAAAATAATTTTTTAACAAAAATCTTCTTCTGTTGTAATTTTTTACAAACTATGTACATTTCAAAACGAAATATTTCGAAGATATCCTAGCCTTTCGTAGATAGATTTCTAATATAACACTGGACTTAATTTGAACACCTTGGGTTCCCATTGTTATTCTTTGGCCATTATTTGCTCATATAACTTTCGAACAAGACAGACAAACTTGATATTAACATAAATTACATATACGTTTAAAACGTTTATTGTTTGTAAACATAAACAATTGTAGTTATGAAACAATAATGTTGTAAACAGCCTCCCTTACTATACTACATATATTTTATCTCTGTTATTTATATTAAATAACTTATTCATATGCGATATACTTTAATGTTTGAGTTTTAATAATATTAAAGAAACTTGTAAGAATAATATTTATTTTGTTGTAGTAATAATAAATAACATATTATTAAACAAAATAACTTTTATCTTATACTTTGCGGTTCTTTTGATAACTGTTTGATTCTTTAATTTTTTCCTAAAGTAGGTATTCCTTTTAAATATAAAACTCGAAATCATGAAACAAACCATAAATGCTGTCTCAGTTCTGATAAAATTTATCTGCACAGAGTTCTTCCCTTTTAAATATAATTTATTTGCATTTTAATTTATCAAAAGATTATCAAAAAATCAATCAACCAACAAATTACTAACAAAACTTTTTGGTTGCGAAACTCATTAAGGCTAGGTCGAATAAGCAAAAATTAAAAAAAAACAAATGTCATTACCACGTCATTGTTGTCAAAATTGGCTATCCGTAGCGGCGCTGTCCTGGGACCCTCTCGGTCAGCTTCTAAACGCTGCCCCACTGCCTCATCATGAAGAGCCTTCTGAAGAGCTATCAGCAAACGATCAAGAACCAAGGCTGCTCGCTTCTGGGGCACGATTATTTGCTGAAATAAATATATTCGAGATATTATGTTTAATATTATTGAATTATAATTGGATTCAAAACCCTTTTACGTCAATTAGTTGTGGTATTTCATTACATTGAAGTAGATTTTGTATTTTATGGAGCTTTCAAAATGCTGTATCGATTCTCGTATTCAAGAAATAAGGTTATACAATGAATTGATTTATACTGTATCCATGAAAATTGTTCTTAATTAATTTTTTTTACGTCATTTAACGTAATTTACTTAATGTTTAAATGACGCCCACTGTAAATAGGACAATAATAATGACGCTACAAATTTTGGTAACTATTTTACCCCACGCAATTTTTCAGCATGAATATTTTGACACTAAACTTTATTAAAAAGAGTACAATAAGACACTCAAACTATTAATTTGGCGTATTTATGACCTGACCTTTACGTATCAATAACATTGATAAGAATATTGGAAGATTCTGTAATTCTTAAGAATTATGTGAAAAATAATATTTCTTCCTCGGAAAACTCGTTTTTGATTTATAACTTATGAATGATTTGAGTACTCTTATACTAAAAAATCTTTAATAATACCAACATCAGCATATTCTCTCCTCTCCGCGAGAGGGTATTCATCATCAACTAGCGGAGCTGGTACAAGGGCAGGAGCAGCCAGTACTGCAGACAAAGCCATCAAGATTAACGCCAAAGACTGCATCATGATATCATCAGTTCTGAAATTATGTATAAACAAATTATTAGTCCGTTTTCTTAATAGTATCTATGTAATCATGATTTTTTTATATAGAATACATTAAAAAATAATTAATTGCAGTATTTTGACATCAAATAAAGAAAAATGAAAAAGTTTTTGTAACAAGAAATTCTCACTGAATGAAAAACAAAAATCTCGATATTTCAAGGTAGCACTTACTAATAATTATATTTAATTGGTAATTGCTGGTTCCTTATAGATACAGTTTATATCACGCCACACAATGTGTTGCATTAATTTAACGAAAACTTTTTTTAATTTCAAAACTACCCTTAATATTTTTTTTTCTTAAAATGTCTCTTATTAAGTGGGATCTTAAATAAATAAGTTTCATAAATTCAGTACTAGAATATTTAAAAAGATCGAATAATAAAAAAATATCAAATATTGGCAAACATACATGACCAGTTAAATAGGTAAACAATAGTGTAGATAAAAAAATCCTAAAACATGATTTAATACGTTTCCAAACTAGCCGTTCCATATAAAAATATAATATATTAAAATATCTATTGGTAGGTATTACAGACATTCGATAGTATACACCTTAATAAAATTGTTTTTGAATTTTCTTCTCGTATTTTATCATTCTACATTTTACTCGACGTTTCCATTACTTTACAGTAATAGGGAGCACGGTTTTATATTTAACCATATCTTATAGTAAATGAACTTGGAAAATAAGTTTTTCTCGTATTAAGATGATCTCTTACAGCAATTTTAAAAATATATGAGTGATGTTATCGTATTTAGGTTTAAAAGATTTTAAATTATATTATATATTTTTTGGATTGTTTTTTTTTTTATTAAAAAAAACTAGATCCGTTATATTGTTGGGAGATATTGGTAAATTATTTACAAGTTTTCTCTAATATTTGGGGCATTATTATAAAATCATTCGTTGAATTTTGAATGCTTTCTTCTTCTCTTTTACTAATATATTATTTTCTTTTAGAGTTTATTTTGTAATAGATACGAAATGTAAAGATTTAACTCAACATTCTCTGCTGTTTGTTATTAGAAAATAATTTGTTTGAATTACTTTACTTATACACAACTGATTCCTTGTACTATATTTTGATTTATTTTGAGTAAATTGAATTGTTTTTTTGAAACTCTGATCTGCATTACGATAAATGTGCTTAAACGATTACGTTTAATTCTTCATTGACTTGTTAAGTGTCAGATCTTAAAGGAGGTTTGTTTTAGAAGTGAACATTTTCTAAGCGGAAACTTTGAAACGGTAAAGTTACGGCAAATTCTTTAACAATAGAGACTTAACACAAATAATCTCGTGACCTCCTTCTGCAGCGCTAACGTCATCGTGGAATTAATATTCATAAATTTTAAAAATCATACAACAGAAATAAAATAATTAACGTAAAGACAGAAATTGTGAAACTAAAAATTAGAGTAGTAAAATAAGATATTAAAGCTATATAAATGACTAAATTAAAACACATACACGAGATAATTTTTAAATATTAGCAATTGCTGACTAACCGCCAAAATGTTAAAATTTAAAACTACCAATTTGAAAAAGCAATAAAAGCTTTAAAGCAACGACCTAACATAAAAATAATTGAAAAAACAGATATTAATTTATCTTACTATTACATCTACTTCAATTATTTTATAAAAAGAAAATCTAAAAAAGAGATGTATATAAATACTGAGTTATGCAGTGTAAGAAATAAAATTTTAATGAAATAAATCTATATCTCGACACCTAACTAGCGTTTTTATTATGCCTCATCGTCTCCTGGTTTCAATTATTGTAAAGTAACCGAAAAGTCGGGTATGTGATAAAATATATATAATTTCATTGAAAAATTTAACTAAAAATCAAGATATTTTAGTTGTTTTTTCTTTGAATACTTTTTATTAATATACTTCACAACGTTACATTAACAATACATTAGTATAAAAAACATCAACTCTTATAAAGGTCATCCCTTTTGTTGTAAATAGATATACAATACCTTTTACTTCCAAATTCGGATAAATAGACAATTTTTTTCCTTATATTTGTAAATAAAAGACAACTCAAGTATATTTTCGTCAAAGAAAAGCTGCTTTTTATGAATGTTCGAGATGTGAATTAATTCGATTGAACTGTTAGGAGAAAGAAAATAAAATGTTTGATTTAAACATTAATATATTTTTTTTATTTCTATATTCTCAGTGTTTTATAAACACTCTATTATTTTGTATTTACAGTCAATTTGATGTGTAAGAAATTTGATTTCACTGAAAATCTTTTTGCGAATTTAGGTCTTCACAATATTTAAATTTTGAGTTATCTTTATTAATTTTTTAATTATTTGAAATCTTATGTTGAATATGTTTTTATTATATGATTTCCTTTTTCTTTTCATACAGTTTATTCTTTAGGTTATAGAAGTGTAATTTTTATTTAATATCTTGCTTTAAATATCTGTGTCTATATTTTAGCATCACGATTATTTTAATACATACAAAAATATACAAACTTTTTGAATGTAATATTGAAAAAAACTGTATAGGTACGATGTATAAGAATTATAATAACATAATAAGAAAGTTAAATCGGAAAATCGTGGTTTTATTTTTAACTAAATACATATATAATTGAAGGAAATTTATAGACCTTTAAGTTTTATAAATAGCCTTCAAAAGATATCGTTTAAGGACACTACAAGAAGGTCGAATAGGCCATAACTTAAACACGACTAAGTAAGCTGATAAAATGTAAAAGAAAGCTCTTTCAAATTTCAAAATTTTTCTTCCTTAATTAAACCGTTCAATTATATTCCATATAAATTTTAGATATTCTTAATAATGTAGTATATTTATTGATGATTAAGTTCAAATCATTTTAATAACCAAAAAAATACGAATAACAAATAAGTAAATCAGCTTATTAAAATACGCTGATGATGCAATAAGAAGTAACGTGAAAAAAGTGAGTTTTCGTATCCTTAAATGTGGATTCAATGAGGGTGTGGGGTTGCTTCAGGGTCGCGGCTTAAACCGTGTCATGTAGCAATGACAGGAGGATAAAAAGTGACACATTTATTCGATGAGAGGATCATCGGTGTATTGTTTCATATATCCCCATTTAAACTCGTTATCCTTCTAATGTTTTTTAAGATGATAAATAAATTGCACCCATCTGATCTCACGATCATATGATTATGAAATTAAGAACAAATTTCGTAATTGCTTGTGGAGTCAAGCGATTTCATCAAAGGTTTGCTTTATGCTTGATGAAATCTCTTTATATGTATAACCAATAATATTTATTTTAATTGTTTTAGATTACTTAGCTAACTATTTTTGGATTCTATATCTATTTTTTGCAATAGATATGTATAACATACACTATACTACAATATATTTATATTTAATTACTATGAGGGTAAATTTCAATACGTTTACTTTTCTTTCGTATTTTTTTAAAATATTTTTATAAATAAGATCACAAAAATTAAAAATATATATACAAATATGTAAGCAGTCTTCAAAAATTTAAACATTTTACAGTGAAGGAACAAAAGCTTTATTATTTTATTTTCATTTAAATTTCACCGAAGTTTTGTTATAAATTAAACCAAATGTATACTATATTTATAGCAATATATATATGTATATATACATGCCAGACTGTATACTACCTTTAAAAAAATAAAATCCTCATTTCTGAATTATTCAAATGAAATATATTAAAACCAATAAAATTAATTTTTGTTCTTCTACAATTGAAATCTATATTGAAAGAAATAGTCCCCGTTAATTATTATTTCGTAGTATAAAAATAACTAATAACATTTACATTAATTTATATCTTGTGATATATTATTTGATTATACATATTATTATTACCATACGATACGTTATAACTAATATGAGTTTTAACTATTTTAGTTTGGTGTTATTTGTACGGGTCTGGATAAGAGTCTTTTTGTATTATTTATTAAATAAAAACTATTTTTGCTATATACATGACAATATAAAATATTGGCTTTGTAGTTAAGTTGAATTGTATTACAACAATACTCAAATTATATGTGGTTTTCGAAATGATATTATTAAAATTTATGGAGAAGAGAGAGAAGAGGCTATGCTCAAGTTTATAATTAACACATTATCATAAAATTGTTTCCAATTAAAGTGTTCTGTTTCAAACAAATTATACATATAATAAAGCAACCATAGATTTTTTTAAATAAAAAGTAAATCTCAGTACACATTTATTAAAAACTTTACGTTATTTGATAGCGATTGTGTCTCTCAAGAAGCTTAAGAAATCTGCTGGTTCTATTTTTAATATTAGTTTATGAGTTATGTTGAACAGAACATTATTATTTAATTGAATTTGACTTTCACACGTATAAATCTTCTCGAGATAATTTAAAAGCAATGAAAATGTGTGTAATGCTTATTTTCATAGATTAATGTGAATAAAATTTAAAAGCTTCCATTTAGCTTATTTATATTTATATACATAATACTCAATATACATAAATAATAACAGATTAATAAATTAAAAGTAAAATGTCTCAAGAAATCGATTCTAACTAAACTTAATATACATAATTATTTCAAAATTAAGAATAGTTTACAAAAATAAAAGTTATTGTCGTTCAAATTAACCATTTCTTATAATACTGGTTTTATTATTATTTTATTTGAATAAAAAACTTACAAGAAAATGTTAACCTAACAGTAAGGCATATAAAATAAACAGCGTAACTAAAAATATATATTGGAAGTCCATACAAAAATATAGCTTACATAATCATATTAATTAGACCAATATACTTGTGTGTTGCCAGAGACTAATTATAATTTTCCCGATTGGAACGTTGTATGAATAGTTAGCAATGGATAGGTTTATTTTTGGCTCCACGATTCCTAGAAATGCCTAATCGTATATCAAATAAAAGGTTTTCATCGGAATACGTAATACTATTAACGAATTGCTATAATTTTGGCACCAAAAAAAAAACAAGTTATTCCAAAATAGATATTCAATGTTTAAAACACTTGTAATATAACAAATATATTACAATATATTTTACTACTATAAAGAACATAGTATGTATTTGAAATAAAATAAATTAATTTAAATTTCAATAAACAGGCACATTATACATACTTACTGAAAGTCACAATATAAACACCTTTTAATTTTCAGTGATGAATCGGGTCACGTAGTAAGTTAGTGGAGTGAGCAAGTAACGCGCTCGAAGTCTGAACTCTTTGTATAACGCCGACCGCCGTCGAAGCCTTTATAAGGGAAGGACGAGCCAGTGTTTTATTGCACTTTTCTGTATAGCTAGTAACTACAGAATACACTAACAATTTTGAAGTTAATATTCGTGAAAATATTTACGTATAACAAAGTGGAATTACGCTATTTTAAATTTAAAATTATCTTACGTTCATATTTAACGGTCTTTTCATTATAAATTAGAAGTAAATAAATTACATAAAAATAAATTTATATAAAAGATGAATAAATTTTATGAATATTTGAAATTTATATAAAATTTTGAATTGAAAAGAATAATTGAAAATATATTTTATGAAATACATAATAATGAAAATAATTTTAGCACATCTGTAATAGTTTTGTTAACGATTATAACTTTTTTTAATTTCTAATCACTTTCATACATTGAAATTAGTTGGGTGAACCCTGTTCTTGATTACAAAAGGGATAGTAAAGCGTTGTAAATTCGAAGACATATTTCTGATAGACGACCTAAAAACACAAATGCATTGATTGTCGCATTAATTAATTCTGTCTTTGAATTTACGAATTTAATATCGGACTTTTATGTTCTATATTTATTTGTCAAGTTTTTCTTGTATAATATCTTTTTTTGGCATATAGATACTTGATAAAATAAAATTCATCAATGCACTGTTGGAAATAGTTCCTGGGAATGTATCGTTATTTCAGTAAATAATTATAAGCTACTAGTTTTTGCCCGCGACTTCGTCCGCGTTAATTTCATCATTAGTAATATATGTATAGCTGACCGGGCGAACTCTATTCCGTCCTAGAGGCCATAAATAATCAGGTTTTTCCTGTTTCAATCGAACAGAATGATTGACATATTAGTTAGTTGTCAAATCTAATGTCAAAGAAAACATTTGTATGGGAAATAGAAAAGGGCTGTTTTTAGGGTTTTCCCGGATATGAATCAATTTTTCTCACCTTTTATACCTTCCCTGAACCTCCACGAACATTTCAAGACTAAGATAAGATATATCCGTTCAGCTGTTCTCGAGTTTTAGCGAGACTAAGGAACAGCAATCCATTTTTATATATATAGAAGATAGAAGACTAGCTGACCCGGCGAACTTCGTACCGCCTTATAATCAAGAAATATATGTTAGTTTTTATTTGAATGATGTTAATTTCTTTATTAAAAAATAGGGGTTGATCGTAGAGGGGTGAAAAATTTAGAGTAATATGAGATTTTTTATTGTAAGTCATCAAAAAATTAAAAATAAAATTGCCAAATATTAAAGTTTTTAATTAACAAATAAAAAATAAGGGTTGATCTCAGAGGGGTGAAAATTTAGGGTTGTATGTATTTTTGTAGGCTATGTCATAAAAAAATAAAAACAAAAAAATTTGCCTAAAAAATAAAAACAAAAATTTAGGGGTGCACTACCCTTAACATTTAGGGGGATGAAAAATAGATGTTGGCCAATTCTCCCCCCTGGTTAGTATCCTCGATAAGGATCACGAAAATCGTTCGAGCCGTTTCGGAGGAGTTCAAGTTCGAACACCGTGACACGAGAATTTTATATATTAGATTATAAATCTCTATACAGAACCTTTCTTAGTAGTCAATGAAAAATATTAATCACAATATTAACCAGTATAACTGAAGCTTTAAACATAACTATATATTCTCAACAAATATTCTTGTATGTTTATTTTATGAACTTCTGAAATACTTGCATTTGGTTGCAATGTATGTATGCATGTTGTTTAATGTATCTGGTTATCTATTCATATAATTCTTTGTTTATTATTACATAACGTAATGCTTTTAAATGATGATGCATACCTTAATTATAATTATTATACTGTCTAATAAATTTACCGCCATACAATTTTATTGCTTAATTCGTCAAAAAACTGTTGTAGGAAGCTCCACCTCTCTTGTTTGATCTTGTACGAAATATAGAATGTTTTAAAAGATATCAGTTTCAAAAAAAATATATGGAGAGTAAAAATAACATATGTGTAAGTTATAAAAGTATTTGGTATTAATAATATCATTACCTGAGTATATTAATAAGCTCTAAATCCTCAAAGAGCCGCTATCAGTATAAATGAAAAAGTCATGTTTTTATTACAATCACATGCGTGTGAACTATTATTTATTAAATACATATGTTGCTAAATATTTTTATATCAAAACATATTTTTCCTTTGTAGGCATTTTATATAGGAACAAAAAGCGATAGGTTAGTTATCTCAAATAATGTTGGTGATGCCTCTGACGAAGTTGACTAATATTAATTATTTACAGTAACTTTGTTGTTTCTTTGATAACTGATCAGTCTGAAAGTCTGAAATTCTAGGAACTAGAAAAAGTATACGAGTTTCCTTCGTATTCCGAGTCGCCTTGCCGGCCCATTCATTCCATTTTTTGACATTTACACAGAAATGGATATATCTAACTAGCTTTTACCGCGGCTTCGTCCGCGTGGAATAATTACTTCCGACAGATTTTTGGTTTTTCCCACATAGTTCCCGTTCTTGCGGGGTTTTCGGAATGGTCGAGTTCCCGTAGAATTTTCAGGATGAAACCTATGTTTTTTTATTAATAATGAAGTACTCTTAACCAACAACATATTTATTTGTTTATATGAATAAAGATTAATATTATTATTTTGATAAAACTTAATCAAATTATTTCGACAAAATTAGGTACCATAAAAAGGGTTTTTGTGAGTTAATCTTAAAAGATAGACATATACTGTCGCGGACTGTTTTTTAGATCATTAAGAGAGCTATTATTCTTTAATACATATTTTTTGTGTATCTTGAACCGTTTTCACGGCGCACGCAACGGAAGGCTTCAAAGATGAAATAATTTCTCCCGTTTTTTACACATTTACCACTATATCTTTGCTCCTATTGGTCGTAGCGTGATGTTATATAGCCTACAGCCTTCCTCGATAACTGGACTATCCAACACAAAAAGAATTATTAAATTC